GACTTGTACCTAGGGCCCAGAATTTGGTGCTACGCCCCTGCAACAGGATATTAAAGCATAGAACATTATGTGATAGCGCATATCTTTGTAACAATGGACTTATGTACGCGTAGTTAATTGTAAAATACAGTCCCTACGTAATTAAAATACTGTTCAGGCATGATAATACAATCGTGACGCATTAGAATAATTTAAACGGGTTATCTTTATCCTGGCCCTAACCGGTCCAAAGAATGATCCTATCACCATGATGTATTAGAATGTTTGTATCTGTTATTACCCAACAGGATATTAAAGCATAGTACATTAGGTGATAGCGCGTATCTTTGTAACAATGGACTTATGTAGATGTAGTTAATTGTAAAATCCAGTCCCTATGTAATTAAAATACCGTTCAGGCGTGCTGATTAAACGATGACTTATTAAAAGTTTTATGTCAATAATTACCCTACACCATGTGCTCCTACCTAGAGCATTATATGACAGCATGATCCTATAGCCATGATGTAATATAATGTTTGTATCTCGTTATTACCCAACATAATATTAAAGCATAGAATATTATGTGATAGCACGTGTCTTTGTAACAATGGATTTATGCACGTGTAGTTAATTGTAAAATCCAATCCCTATATAATTAAAATACCGTTCAGGCGTGATAGTTAGACCATGACTTATTGGAAATTTTGTATCTAATATCTTTCTATACCAAATGGGACAATATGGAATATTACACGATAGCGTATTGCTCTGCACTAAGGGACCTCTGTAAGTGCGATAAATTGTAAAATCCAGTCTCTGTGTAGTGAAGGCACCGTTCGGATGTAATGATTAAGTCCTCTATAATGTTACAATATAATTGTACCTGTTTATCTATAAACTAAACCGGTTATCCTAAACATAACCGTACACCGTCCTAAAAGGTCAGGGATAAAATTAGGGTTTAGGACAAGGGTGGGGCCAGGGTTAGGGTAAGAGAGGGGGGTTTGGTTAGAGTTACAGGGTATCCGCGGGTCCTTAAAAAGTCTTAAAAAGTCTTAAATTTACTTTTCCAAATTTAAGGCCTTGAAAATCCTTAAAAATGACAAATAATCCTTAAATCCAGTTTCCAAAGGTCTTAAATTACCAAAGACCAAATAAACAAGATTATTTTATTTCTATAAAACTTTTCGTGAATTTCTAGTTGGTGTTCAGCATTTTTTGTGTATGATGTTGGCATAGGCGGAACCGTACACATTCAGTTGGTTGTGAAAGGGGGCTGTTTTTAGATGAGCACATTAGCTGGTTAAGCTAGTGGGAGCTTGCGCCATGGGAAGTGCAAGTTTAATGGTAACTGGATGGCTAATCCCACGTTCACGACGTGGTTAGCACCGGTTCCAGGCAATAGCTGGAAATTATAGCTTAAATTTATTTTTAAAAATGGCTTAAATTTGGTCAAAGTGGCCTTAAAGAAGGTCTTAAAAAGTCTTAAATTTGGCTCCCTTAAACCTGCAGATACCCTGAGTTAGAAAGGGGGTGGGGCCAGGGTTAGGGTGAGAGAGAGGGGGGTGTTGGTTAGGGTTAGGAGGGGGGTGGGGCCAGGGTTAGGGTGAGGGTTAAGCCTGGTTTATGCTTCTCCATCAGCTCCGCAAGGGACAGACACGCACGGATTGACGGAAGCGTTTTGCTCTTTTACTTCTCCGTCTCCTGGAGAGTGTTGCAAAGCAATTGCCCGGCAGGACAACAGAGGGCGTAGCGCTGTTCTGTGGTATCCTGTCATGTATCGGTCCAAGATCGTGTGTTCATATTGTGTTTTTTGTGTATATAAGAGACTTTTAACACGGACATATTTGTCTCTCATTCTCCCACCGCTTCATGCGCTCCCCACCTCTAAACCCACGTTTGCTGTCATTTCCGTCCACAAATAAAACGCTTGCTGCGCATCTTTTCACTCCTCCAGTCACGGGAGGATGAAACGTTCATATTTTTAGAGTTTTTTCGCGAGGTATTCTTCAAGCTTCTGTGTCTGCCGCTAGTTAAACTCGGCTCTCTTTGCAATGGCGGCGCTTTAAACAACAGCGGCATCCTGACCAATCACAAGCTTGCATAATCCGTCTCGTTCGACGGATGTTTAAAAAAGTGGGCTCGACTCCGTACGTACTTGCGTGCCTGTCGGAGCCCTACGCAAGGACGGATAATGGCGTTGCGTGTGCTCCGCACTGACGCAGACGGAGAAGCATAAATCAGGCTTTAGGTAGAGTAGATAGAGTAGATGAATCTCAGTGAGTTTCCCCTGAATCAGTCCATTAACCGAAACAGTTTGAATAGGGAGTCACTGGCAATGCACGGGCCGTCGCATGTCACTCAAGAACCCCCCTCCAGTTGTTGGTTCGTATCAATGAAGAGTAAAAGAGCAGAATAGAAAAAATTGAAAGGACAGAATAAAGAAAAAACGAGAAGAAGAACAGATTAGAAAAAAAGGAAAAGAGGAGAAAACCAGGGTGGAACAAGAACTGGTAGGGACCAGGTAACAGATGTGGTGTTGTGGTCTTACGCTCAACCACATCCGACCCGGACTAGGCTAAACATGGCTCCCCCAATTCCCAATCCTAAGTGTGTGAGAGAGGGAATGGGAGAGGAAAAGAGGTGAGACAGGGAACAGCATAGTTTGTAGTGTGGTATCAACTGCACTTTCAAGTATAGCCCTGTGCTTACTTTAGCTCTAATTTAAATCTAATTTAAAGGGGTTATCTTTGCCATGGCTATAACGGTCCCCAGAATGATCCTATAGCCATGATGTAATATAATGTTTGTATCTTGTTATTACCGAACATGATATTAAAGCATAGAATAGTATGTGATAGGGTGTGTCTTTGTAACAATGGATTTATGCACATGTAGGTAATTGTAAAATCCAGGTTAGGTTAGGTTAGGGTATAAGGGTTTTGTCGATCGTCTGTACCCCTGAAATGAAACTTTGAAGGCGAATAACTCCGGATAGGAAGGTCGTAGCGACATGAACCCAAGTTCTACCCCCCCTACCAATGGGTCTGGCTTTCAATTGGTGGCATCCGTTTGGCTCTACGACCTTCCGGTCCGGAGATACGCCCACTTTTTGACATCCGGTTGTCTGCATCTCCGGAACGGAAGGTCGTAGAAACTCGCGGACAACTCTGGCGTGCTCAGAAGGGTCAATTATGGCAGACGGATCTTGGTTGCGAGCCTCTACGACCTTCCATTCCGGAGATATTCACCGTCAAAGTCGCCCCATTGAAACAAATGGGAGGCGGGTGACTGAAAAATTCCTAAGTGTCAGGGGCCAAATCCTTCCCCCCAAAGGCCCCCGGGGGACAATCGCCCATTGAAATCGCCAGACACGCCCCCCCCGCGCCTTACCGGGCCCCTTCGGGCCCCCGCCGCCCAGCCCCTGAGGCCCCCAAGAATCCGGGAGGGCCGGGACCGGGGGCCGCCCGGCGCTCCGAGGCACGTCCCCCTGGGGCCCTCGGGGGCTTCGCTGCGATTTTCCAAAGTTACAATGGGGACGTAGGGCGATTGGCACAGTACCGCCCCGATTCACAAGGTGGAGTTTGGGGCTACGGGGTGGCAAATTTGTCAAAAAGTAAACTTTTAAGGGGCCAATGTTCCGACCTGTCACTTGTCCGACATTTGTATGTCAAATGGCAAATCCGTAGGGCAAATGGCAAAATGTCAGGATAATGGCAACTGTTTTGACACTAGCCCGACATTTGTATGCGGAATGGCAAAAGCGTCGGGGTAATGGCAAATGCGGAGGTGACACTTTGCCGTTTGGCCGGGCACTAGACCTTTGTCCGGCAAATGGCAAATTGTCATTTACCCAACATTTGTCCAGCAAATGGCAAATAATTGCCTTTTTTTTTCCCTATATTTGTCCGGCAAATGGCAATAATTGCCAGTTACCCTACATTTTTCCGTCAAATGTCAATAAATTACCAATTCCCCTACATTTGCCCGCCAAATGTCAAACTATTGCCAATTCCCCTACATTTGCACATCAAATGGCAATTGCCAATTCCCCTACATTTGACGGCCCAATGGAACTACCATATATTAGTGCATAAACTGGCAAATGATAGCTGTTGGGCATTTTTATGTATTCAATTCAGGCGTACCAACACACGCAAAGGGGTTAGAAATATTAGGTTCTCAATACCATCTATAAATAAACACCAAAATCACTTTGAGGGTGAGAGAATGTCCCTACATTAGTCCAGCAAATGGCACATTGCCATTGTCCATACATTAGTCCAGCAAATGGCACATTGCCATTTCACATACATTTGTCAGGTCAATGGACAACAACTCCCATTTTGTCAATCAAAGGACACCTGTTTGGATCCAGTTGTCTGCCTCAAATCAAGGTACAGACGTGTTGTCTTTACAGGGACACTCTAAAAAAATGCCTGCCATTTATTTAACAAGAGTCCACAAATTTAACTGTATTTAAATGGAACCCAGAAAAATGTGGTCAGGCCCCTGATTTCAGCATAAGTACTGTAGAAAGGGTCTAGTTTGTAGTAAAAATCCCATCCAAGTTTTATCCTGACAGCATCTTGCTAAGGTGGTGAAATAAGGTCCAAAAGTTCACCTTGCATAATTTGACTTGGCACACTTTGTACTTATATTGTCAGCCTAGTTCAGGGCCATACGGTCCATTTGTAATAGAAATATCAAAAGTTTGCTATTTTGATGACATAGTAATTAGTAATTAGTAATAATAGTAATTAGTAATTTTAATGACATAGTAGTGAGAGTGCAAATGTCAAGTTTGTCATTTTACCTAAATATGTAGGGCAAATGGCAAAAGCATGTCATTCTACCTACATTTGTAGGGCAAATGGCAAAAGTTTCTAATTTTACCTACATTTTTATGGAAAAGGTCAAGTGCGTGTGTGTGTGTGTGTGTGCGCGTGCGTGCGTGCGTGCGTGCGTGTGTGTGAAATACAAAACAGCATGTTTTCAAAAACTCTGCTTTAATAGCACAGACTTAGGAGTTTTCCAATAAAAGATGAAGTAGACAAAATGAGACTGTTGCATGACAGTGAACAAAAAACAGCCACAGGGTGTAAAATAACAAATGAAACAAATGAAATAAACTACAAGACTACCCTCGTCTTGAAGCGTAGCGTCCGCCTTGCCTGCTCACTTTTTTTCTTGGCTGTGAGTTTCAGCGGGCTCAGGAGGACCTTGGGATACTGACGCTGATGTGTATAGGAAAACAGAAAACATTCATTAGTTATTTCCAAACAGGAAAACATATAATGATCAAAATATGAAATGAACAATGCTTACCAACAATGGCTTGGCCCTTCGGGTGGTTCTTCGCTGTGTGCGATCATGCAAAAGATAAAGACTCACGTTTAGAAATGACAATAGAGCTCAATGACAGATGAAGAATTTTCAATTGTACTTACAGCTGGCACACGTGAGCTCAGGGGAGATGATGCCAGCTCAGGCTCCTCTGTTTGCCGAGGTTCTGCAGTCGGCTGAGGTTCTGCCGTTTCTTCCAGTTCATCCGTTTGCTCCGGTTGTCCAGGGTTAGGGTGGAACACATTAATGATAAAGTCATCATCATCATAAAGCAGCCTTCAAGGTTAACAGCCAGAAGCAACTGAACCCAGGATGATGTCAACAATGGCGACTGAAAGAACTCACCTCAGAAGGTTGTGCAGGCAGCGCTGGGGCGGTCGTCTCCGGCTGTGCGCCTTGGACAGGTGTGGTTTGCTGGAGAATGAACACATAATGAAATCATCATAAAGCGGTGAGGGAGGGTCACAGTGCTCAACAACACACATCCGTTCAGAGTGTGAATGAACTTACACCACGACGGTCGCCCTCGTCCTCTTCCAGAGAGTCTCCCTCCTCCTCAGACTCCGAGGTACCGCTTTCCTGATAGCTGACGTGGCCCTCCTCCTCTGTTTCCGAGCTGTTGTGACGCCGCCGGGCATTCTTGGCCTGAGGGAGCTGAGGTGTAAAAGCGGAGGTCTCCGCAGAGTCCGTTTCGCTCGGCAAGATCATTTGCAGTTCGGCCGTCATGTCGAATGGATCCTCCCGGGTAGTGTCCTCCTCCAGTGTGGATTTTTCAAACATGTCCCTGACGGCGCCGCTCTCGAAAGGGTCCAGGAAGACAGAATAAAATTTGTCGGCCGTGCGCACGTCATGGCACATGGCCGCCGAGATCATCTCCCTCACCCTGGGAGTGTGCTTTTCCTTGGCCTGAAGCCGTGAAGCAAAGAAGAGACACATGAAAATGCTGTGAGTATTTTTGTCTTTAGTCCAGCAAATAACTTGCTGGCTGTGGTTGGTTAAGAGCTCATCTACACAAAGTGCGACATATAGAGTCACACGTCAACGCTGGTAAACAACTCACATATGACGCTACGGCGGTCCTGAGCTCAGTGAACTTGGGCTTCCCTGCCAGCCCCATCTCCTCCCACGCCGCCTGGAGGAAGCGGACCAAGTTCTTGTTTTGGCGCGCAGTGGCTCCAAAGAAGACGAGATTTCCGTCTGGCTTGAGCGCCTTTCGGACGGCCAGCCACCTTTCCATCCACTGGAACTCGTCTTCTTTGAGGAAGACCTGCGCGTACCCAAAGAACCTGTTCGTCTTGTGCTCCGCGATCTGCAACAGAGGACACCTCGTGGTTAAACACAAGAGAAACGATGCCCAAAGCAAAGACAAAGGAGTGTTTTTCTACTAACGTTGATGATAAACCCGGGGCCACCGGGTTTGTACTGGCTTCGGGCGTCCGTCACCTCCGCCACCTTCATATTGGCGATAACGCCCGTCCGGTGTCCATATATGGACGCAATCAGAGCAGCGAAGTAGCCGAACAAGCTGTGGCGGAGTTTCGGGTCCCTCGGCTCCTTCTCCACTTGTTCTGTGAAGATCAAACACAAGTGAGCTCTGTTTAACATCTCCGCTCGACAGAACCTGTCACCCATCGTGACATCCTCCAAAGCGTAAACACCGACATCACCGATTCTTACCCAGCACCCCGGGAATGGCCTGACGGCAGCGCTCGCAGCAGAGGCGGAGATCGGACGCGGGGATGAGCCGCAACTGTTTGGCCGCCTTCACCTTCATCTGATGTACGCTGACATCCCTGAGAAGAGGCCTGATGCACTGCAGGATGGTGCGCATCACTGCAGTGACCTGCGTGCTCTTCAGCTGGCACTGAGGTGGTGGCGTCTCCTTGAAGTACCTCATAAAGGAGTAAATGTTCCTGAGGTAGAAGGTGACGGTGGTCACCTTCTTGCCACATTTCCTCAGATGCCCGACCCACCTGAAGAGAACATAATAGAAAAAGCTCAACACTTTGTTTTTCTTTGTGATTTTGCCTGACTGCAGGTGATGTACACTTACTCCACGATGACCTGCGTGCGTGACAGGAAGGTCCAGTCCCACACCTTAAGGGCCCCCACCGCCATGAAATTCAGGAACCTCCTGACCCTCATGACTTTGGAGGCCACGTTGTCCACCTGCTTGTGTGTGTGCTGGACCCCTTTGAGGAAGCAGCGGTAGTCGTCAAGGTATTGATCTGTGGAGACACGTTCACGTAGCAATTAACAAGGAGGAATCCTTTGGGAAGGATATTCATCGAGACGTGAGGTAAACAGATAAGAAAACTAACCCATCGCTGCCGAGAACCCGGACAGCAACGAGGCGGGACTCGGGCGAGGCGTCGTTGCCAACTCCCGTGGCGACAGGGGCTCTTGGTTGGCCTCCGGGGAAGACGGGCTGCCACCGGTGTGGTGCACCTTCCTGGTCCTCTTGGCCGGTGGAGCAGAGTCCCCTCCTTCGCTCCGGCCAGAGGACGGGGCGACGCTGCCGGCCTGTCCGCCGACGCCTGCCGAGACGCTTTCCCAAGAGACCCTGGGCGTCTTGGATGGCCGGGACGGTGGTGGTGATGGTGGGGAGAGTGGGGAGAGTGGTGGTGGTGATGGTGGGGAGGTTGTCGGTGACGATGAAGGGGAGGAGGTCTCAGAAGAAGAGGTCAAGGCAGGCGGTGGTGGACGGACGTGCACGGAGGAAGGACGTCTACAGCGTGCTGAGTGGAAGGGCGTCTGCCAGCGTGCTGGGTGGAAGGGCGTCTGCCAGCTGCAGCAGAACTTCCTCCCGGGCTCTGCGTTGCTGCGGCTGACGGGGATGGACGCACGTCCACCTCCTCCGGAACAGGGAGGTCTTTAGTGATTTTCTAAAAAAAAACAAAAAAGCCAAGAAAAATAAACAAAATGGTTATTACATGTGAATGTCACTGTCCAGTTTATAAATATAGCACATTTACAGCAGTCAGAGACAGCACAAAGTGCTGTACATCAGAAAAAATTCAATGATAAAACACGTGGTTTAAAGGAGCAACTTGATCACGTGCTTGCTGAGTATTATTTCATGAGTTAAATAGAATTTATAAGCATGTGTAACTCACTTTCCCAGTCCTCCGCTCGAACCTGGAGACCCTGCGGTGGTAGAGGCGGAAGGTCTTCCGCAGGTTGTCCAGCTGCTGCTTGACACCATCGTACTTGCGCTGGAGGGTGTTGCAGCCCTGGCAGCTGGCCTGCGCTTCCGCCTCCTCCTCTGACCAGACGTCAGAGTCGTCCTCCTCCTGGTCCAGCTGGCTGACCATTGGCGGGTGAGGGGCAGTGGCCCTGAGGGCTGCCAGCTGGAGGATGGTCACCCGTCTCTGGGCTGTGTCTACAGCCCGTTGCAGCTGCTCCTTGGAGAGCTCCGGGTGGCTGCTTTCCAGGTGTTTGTCACACCTGGACGACATGTAGGTGCACCCAGAGACGGGGCAGGGCTCATAACGGAAGAACACCCACTTGCTTGCCAGCTTGAGCAGCAGCTGACGCTCCTCGCCGTTGTCCACCTTGTGGGCCCTTTTGAGATGGGGGAGAGAGCTGCGAAGGGGCGGCCACAGATGGGGCAGTTGTGGTACTTGGATGCCATGGTCACTAAGGTATGTATGTTTGATGTATGATGTCAGTGTGTCTAAGGACAGGAAATAGAAGAAAGTGTTTATTTTTGACCCTAGTGTGAAGCTACACAAAGTCACAGAAGTCTCCTTGTCCAGTAAATGCTTTGTTCCACACCAAATCCTGTGTAAACACTGGTGTGTGCTCATGTCAAGCTGTCATAAATGTAATAACACAGTGTAACAGCTAACCTGTTGAGCTTATTGCAAGGAACTACAACTTTAACATGACAAAAGACTACAAAATGACACCCTCTAGTGGCTAAAAACCTTTGCTTTAAGAGAACTTCCTGCACAGCTTATTAAAAGCTTCAAACACTTTTGGACATGTTATGCATTGTAGTCATTTATATATATACAACCTGTAGTTTATATGTGTGTTGTGCTGCTAAACTCTTTCCATTTTATTAAATGAGATTGATTTGCACTCATTTCACTGTGAGAAAAGGTGGATTTTAGCACTCTGTTGAGCTTACTGCAAGGAACTACAACTTTAACATGACAAACACTACTAGATGACAACTTCATGCACATGTTCTATTCACTGTTCAGGGTAAAATTGCACTTTAAACCATTTAATTATTACAGAGAAACGTGGACACGATGCTTACCTGTAGATGAACTCCAAGAAAGAGGTAATTGGCCGGTGACTGGGCGGAGATAACCACAAAGCGCGTGCCAACTGAGCCAATGCCGGTGACTGGGCGGAGCGGAGAAGCGCGCGACAACTGTGCCAATGGAGCGGGACACGGATGTCAGCTGGGAGCGCACAACAACACCGCGGATGTAACGGGAAACACTGCACACCTACCTAAGCTGATAAAACGACAAGAGGACGGATGTAACGGGAATCTCTGGGCAGCTGCGCTGATAAAACGGGACACGACAAGAGGATGGATGTAACGGGAAACGCTGCTCACCTGCGCTCATTAAACGGGACACGACAAGAGGAGGCAGCCAAGCGTGAACCACCTGTGCGCACGGAGATGGTGGTGAGCTTTGCGCAGACAGCAAGCCGTTAGCAGATAGTCTAGTGGTATGATCATTGAATTCTACACATGTGTTGATGGACAGAAGGCTCCTGGACACTGCACAATCATTTGGAACGATCTGATCGCTCCCCGGACTCAGCAAAACGCGCGTCTGTGACAGCAGCTTTGCGCAGGAGTTCACGTGACCAAAACATAGCAGAGACACGCGGTAAAAACGTCACCACTGCATGACTGTCACACCTGAGTAGGAGATCAGAAGCATCCTTTAAGGATTAGACACCGTGAAACATGGATGCACCTGCTGGAAGACTGGGAGACTAGCTCTGCACCAGTTAACCCATTAAACCTTCATGCTAATCGTGCAGCATCTCAGGTTAGTGTTGGCTCAAATCTATTTAAAAGCTAAGCCTCAGCTAATGCTTGTGCAAAAAACAACTAAAAGCTCCTCTTTGGGTCCACAGTAACACACTTTGGATGACTTCACCTCCTCCAGCCAGCCAAACCTAATGGGAAGGATCATCTTGGCGTGCAGAGGTCAGCTAGACTGCCCTAGAGGTAATGCAACAGCTGTAAAACTAGGATGTGTCTTTGGGGGGACTAAAAATGAATCCTTTTTAACTGGAACGGTCATTTCAGCACCTACGGTTTAGAAGAAAATGATTTTAAAGTGACCGGAGCTAAAAAATTAAAGGGGCAATAGGTTGGAATTTTTTTTGTTCGATTGGCTTCAAATTTGTACTGCACTTTCAGGTGTGCCACAGATGACACTTGTCACGATTTGAGGAGGATGGTTTGGACCCAAGACGCAGAACCCAGGATGTCAAAAGGCAGAAGGTGGTTCAAAGTAAAATCCTTTTAGTTTAGGACAAAGAAAAAAAGTAATCCGAGGCAGCGAGCCAAAGTCCAAAACGTCCTGGAGAACAGGAACACCCAAAGCTCTTCTTAGAGCACAAAAACCTGGAGACAAAGTTCATACAGAGCACGAGCAACGCAGACAACATACCACAATGAACCGACATCAGACACAGACCAGACAGAGCTTATATACACAGGGAGAAGTGATTAGGGAAAATGGCAGCAGGTGTGTGAAGTGAGAGCTGGAGGGAAGACAGGTGAACCTAATAATCAAAATGGGCAAACAGAAACAGAGGAGGGCCAAATAAACCTAAGAAACTCTAAGACACCAGAACTAAACCTAAGGGCTGCGGGAAGGACTAACACACACACACAGAACTACACACAAATACTGAGCAGAAGGCTGAATCTCACACACACGTTGAGCTGGGGACAAAGAAGCTGGGGACTAAAAGGACACAGAATGTAAATGAGACCTGGATGACCTGGGGATGAACGAGACGACACAAGACCTGGGAGGAATAGACGTAAAGGACTACAAACATAAGACACTAAACTGACACGCAGAAAAAGGACACATGAGGGCGCCAAAGAGCTACAGCATAAGACACATAACAGGGATGCAGACAAGGACACATGAGGGCGCTAAGAGAGCACAAGGGGAGATCCTGGAGTGGAGCACAAGAGGAGCTGGGGAACAAAAGGACACAAGAGGGAATCTAGAGAGGGATGGAGGACACCAGGAGGCACAAAAAGGGAAGGGGCTGACGCAGACCATGACAACACTTGTCCAAATAGGAGGCTGATCGCACTTGTTTAACAGGCAAAGCTCAAGCACAGTGTCTCAAACAGTCTCCTCTTGTTATAGGACTCAACTGGCTGCAGAAACACGGTGACTCCCAAGCGGAGTAAACATTATTCCTTCAAATCCATCCACATGTCTTGAAAGGAGTCATGTCTCTCCAAGTCCAAACCAGCCTCCTCCATATCCTCTCGTGTGTGTGTGTGTGTGTGTGTGTGTTTGACATTGTAGCGATCCAAAGCCGTGGAAATAACTTCTGACTGGGACAGTACACAGGAGCAGCTCCCTGCTGACCAGAACCTCTATTGGACATGTCTTTGTCACCTGGCACAAGAGTTTGTTCAGCTGCTCATGCAGCATCTGTGCTCCTGGCTGCAGTCGTGTACATCACAAAGTGAGAAATTGAATGTGACACCTTATAGGCCTTTTCCACCGACCAAACTGGCATGGAATGGGAAGGATCGGGTCACTAAATATTTTGTTTCGATTGTTTAAACCAGTCCAGGAAACTTACCCGAACCGGTCCAGTAGCGGGCCAGAGCGGGACCCCTTCTGTTGTGGGTCCAGAGAGTTTTGGTCTGGGCGGAGCCACAGCGTAAAAGGTCCAGAGTCCTCTGATTGGGGGAGAAATTACGTAACTACCAGCGACAATCCCAGGGGATGGAAAAAGAAGTGAGTCGAGTTCCAGTGTTTGTTTGGCTGTACTTCTTGTGTGTGAAAATGCCTGCGAGTAATAGCTTTTGGTCCAATGTGGAGCTTCAAACGTTCCTCACCATCATCGGAGATAGCAACATTCAGGCCGAGCTGGATGGGATGATAAGAAATGAGAAAGTCTTCAAAGAAGTTTCTCAGCGCATGGCAGCTGAAGGATTCCAGCGCACCTCCGAGCAGTGTCGTGCTAAGCTGAAAAAAATGAAAGCCCACTACAGAAAAGTTAAGGACAGCAACGGCCGTAGTGGGAATGGGCGAAGTACATGGAAGTGGTACGATGTGGTGGACGCTATTTATGGACACAGACCGTCAAACCGAGGCAGCGAAGGAGGCCTGGACTCAGCGACCAGTATCCTGGAGTCACTCATAAACCCTGTTGGTAAGCATTTCTTTTGTTGTCTTTTTAGCTCTGCAGGCCATTCATTGCAGCACCAAAAACACTGAATAATAGCAGCAGCTATTTAAGAAATGCTCAGCAAGTAAAGGATTTAGCCCCTCGTGTTAACTAGCCTTAGTATCCCCTCGTGTTTATGCTAACCTTCATTTAGCATTCCCCCGTGTTTCTTAACACGCTGTTCGCGATATAAGCCTTTCATGTTTAGCATGTCCTTGTTGAGTACATGAGGCTGGAGCGGAGTTTGCCTTTCTTGTTAGCGTCTCATTGTTTAAAACATGGGAAATTCGGTTAGCCTTTCACGTTAGCATCTCAGTGTTGTTTGCATCTCATTGTTTTATACAGCTGAGCACGCACAGTGAGGAGAAGCGAGCTGATCTAATATTATAAATATCCCAAAAGTCGTGCCAGCAGTGTTTTTCGCCTAGAGTGGACTTTTAACAAGTATATATTTTTCGGATGAATAAGAATATAACATTAAATTGCAATTAATCTGTACGTCACTGGCGAATTACTGCCATCTAGTGGACACGTTCCAAATGACAAAATGGCCTTAACTCATAGCAGTTTTATTAAGTTTACTATATGCCTACGTGCTCTTTTGCTGTAAAAATATTGTGCTTTTCTTACCGATTTATTTCGTGATTTTTTCTTACTGACTAATTTTTTGATCTGTGTTTTTCAGACACATCTGAAGCGGAAAACACTCCCTCTTCAGAGGAACCATCCACTTCCTCAAGTAGCACTCCAGGACCTTCTGTGCCACCATCACCTCTGTCCATACCTTCTGTGCCACCATCGCCTCGGCCAATTCCATCGCCACCACCATCACCTCTGTCCACTACCACTCGAGAGGAACATCTACCATGTCGTCGACGCACAGGTAGTGTCTGACCATTCTAAAAATTGCTTTGTGCATAAACAAAACTGACAAGTTCACAGGACAACTGACATTTTGTTATCCATATAAACACAAATGTAATTGTCAATGTTGTTGTTTCCAGGTGACCGAAGACGGCGATTGGAAGCACGAACACAGGTGATATTTGATGAGTTGCAGATCGCAGATGGCAGGCAGATGGACAGAATGGAAGGCATAAGCCGGGAGCAGGTTAACTGGATGCAACAAGACGCAGCAGCAGCAAGGGAACATGAATTACAGATCGCAGAGCGATATTTTGAACATTTGGGTGCCCTAAATGCTGTTCTTGGACTGGTCGCACAAAGAATGGGCAGCTCCTCTGACTTCCTGCCACCACCCAGGCAGTAAGGAGCTATGTATTTGTCCCGTAATTTTTTTTATCCGTCTGTCCTTTTTATCAATAAATTTTCAAAGAAAAACAAGGTGTACATGAATTGTCTTAAAAATTTTTGCTCGCAAATTTACATAATAAATGTAGATTACATTACAGCCCACCTTAAATATATGTTAAAATGAAAAGGTGCAACAGTTTGTTAACAGTAAAATAGTGTACTTTATTAAGTTCTGAAAATAAAACAAACATTTCAGTTCAAACTACAGGCTTCCAACTGTTAAAAGTGTCAAAACAATAAACAAAGTAAATGGAAAGAAAAAACACAAACTGAGGTCAGCGGGTGAAGTGTCGCATCAGAGCTTCACGCACATCACTGCCCTCCTCTGCAACTTCCTGCATATTTGCAACCACTGGTTCATCAGCAGGTGTATCGCGTTTAAAGCGTGCCACAACCCGTGCACGCGCATTGGGTCCACAGCGCGCGTGTGAACGGGACTCGCGAGCGAAAATATACATGGCAGCGCGCGCGTGAACGGGACTCGCGAGCGAAAATATACATGGCGAGAGGTCATTTGTGCACTGAGAGGGAGCAAACTGTGTCTGTGAGCGCACAAGGATGTGCACAAGTGACAAACCTGCGTGCGCGCGTTGCCAACGAGCACACGGCAGAGGAAAACGTGCGCGCTCGGCAGCCTCTGCGCGCTCGGTTTCTAATTCCGCTTGCTCGGCTGTGAGGAGTTTTGGCACTCTGGAGGCGTGGCCTGTGGCAGATCTTCCCTATCCTCTGATTGGTTAGTTTACCCCGCACTTTACTCTCTAGCTATCTATATAAAAAAATCTGATATTCAGCAGTTGCTGCCATAGCTCAGCTGGGAGAGCGGGCGACTCTCACTCTGGAGGATCCAGGTTCGAGTCCGGCCAAGTAACATAGAGTTGATGTCATATTATTCTTTCCTAATTCCTGTGATATTATTTTACAGTTGTGACCGTTCAACTGTCATTAAATGTCCGAATGTTTGCTGGGCAGTGTTTTAAAAAGTGCACATGAGCTAGATGGTTTTAACCAGGTAAAAATAGACTTGTGGGTGTAGGTATGTTCAAGTTTAAAAAGTTCTTGCCTCATTAATGTATTGTTTATTTTTTTCAGCATTTAATTGACAAATTATCCTTTCAAATAATTAATTGGTGAGTTACATAATTGTCCATTTAGAATTGTTGAATGGACTGAGTCAAGTTTGGTGCACTTTATATATTTCAAAACATGTTTTTTTTTATTATGCATATAAATAATTTTAATGTTAATTTATTGAAATATTTCTATTTCTTCATTACCTCACCCTTGTTTTGACAAAAACAAGACCTTGCTGGATAATATCATGGAGAAACTATTTGTTCACAGTACATGGCTCAGTGAGGATCTGTGTACCAAAGGAGGAGATACTCAGAAATCTGTCTGCAGATTGTTACAACCCAGACTGGAAGTGGTGGGCTGTAATAAGAAAGGAGACCAAACAGAGGAGTGGGGGTTCAACAACTGATTTATTTAACCAAAGTAAGGATTTACTAAAGCAGATCAGTGCAGTCAAGAATTACTGGTGTTTGGGTAGTCCTGAACGTGTTGTGATGCCCCCACCGTCTCATTGGGTTTTCATTTGTGTTTAATTGTGTTTTTTTTCTGTTGTAGGCAGCTCGTTAAGCAGCCTTGGAGGCACCTGGGCTCAGGGTGTGGTGCTGCCTACAAAGCCTACTGTTTTTCTGCTTTCACTGGGTCTCTCCTGTGTGGTGGAGAGTCCTCACTGGCCATTTTCTGTTCACTAACTTGCTTTAGTAAATCCTTACTTTTGTTAAATAAATCAGTTGTTGAACCCCCACTCCTCTGTTTGGTCTCCTTTCTTATTACAGCCCACCACTTCCAGTCTGGGTTGTAACAATCTGCAGACAGATTTCTGAGTATCTCCTCCTTTACACAGATCCTCACTGAGCCATGTACTGTGAACAAATAGTTTCTCCATGATATTATCCAGCAAGGTTCCGTTTTTGTCAAAACAAGGGTGAGGTAATGAAAAAATAGAAATATTTCATTAAATTAACATTTAAATTATTTATATGCATCATTAAAATAAAAAAAACATGTTTTAAAATATAACAAAGTGCACCAAAC